CTCCAAGGTTTCGTTCCGCCCAGGCATGTCAACCCAGGTAACATTAATCTAATAAAAGTCGGGAACGGTAAGTACTTGGCCGAGGAGCAAGGAAGATGGTACACCGGCAACTTACCTTGTCACCCGCTGGGTCGAGGCGAACCACAGAGTGAGTAACATCACCTACTGACTTAAGAACTGCTGGGTTCTTGGCCTGTTTGGTAACGAGACTAAGGTCAAGGCTGATGGTCTTTGCATGCTCGAGAACTCTGTTGACTTCAGAAAGAACGAGTTCACTCATGGCCTTTGGCGCGTTGATACAAATCGCGTTACTCGAAGGAATGAGTTCGATCTTTTGACCAGCAATCAGGGAATTTCGCGAAATGTCGGCGAGCCATCTCCTCGATCCAACTGGCATTTTGAGTAAGGGTTAGTTACGATTTGGCAAGAATACTGACCGGGAGTTTACGTACGCATCAAAAGTGAAAACTCGGTATCACGCAGGCTCACGACCAAGTGGCCTTGGCCGTCAATGATATCGTGGGAAGCCAGCTCCCAGCACTCAAGCATAACCCGCAGGGCAAGCTTCTGCTTCGGCCTTGTGTCCGAACCGTAGTACCCGCGCAACGTAGGGTGTTTGTAGTCGTAGGGCGTCATGGCGCCCTCAACGGCGGGAATCCAAGGATAGCGCCTGACGATCCAAGGGGGATCCTCTGCAAGCGGCTTCGACAGCACTTGTTGGGCTTCCGCATGATGGATAAGATATTGTTCCAGTTGCCGACTGGTAAAGCTTGTGTAAAGCGTCTCCAAGAGCTCCGCGAACTGCTTTCCGGTAAGGACGGCCTCTTCCGGCCGGAGTTCCTGTATGTTCTCGAGAATTTCCTCCTCCACGGGATACAGATCATGTTTCTCCAAAGACTCCTCAAGATCAACCACGGCGGCATGCGCAGGAGCTGGCGTAACCTGTGGTGTTTGGCGCTTACTGAGTTTGCCTCGACTGCGAAGGACAACCACTTGCGAGGGCTTCCCTAACATGCCGACAGTTAGGTCTTCCTGCTTGACAGCCATCCTCTGACCCTTGTGCCTGACCAATGTCTCCTGTTTCCTCTCTCTTCTTTCCGCCGGCGAGTATCTTATTATATTGGGCCCCTGTGCTCCATCGCCATGTTGAGTGCCATTTTCGGTGCTAGGTGAAGCGGTCTCTTCTTCCCGAGTCCGGTTGCTCTGGAGCTCGCTGTCGACGGCATCGAAGCCCTGAATGATTTGTCTGGTTATATCCGCCGGGTCCGCACGACCCTGATCGGCCGTGCCGTGGAAGGGTTCTGGATTGAATAGGTCATGCTTTCGGTTCGGTTCGTCAGGCGCATCGGTTCCCTCGCTGCGTTGCCTGCTGATCTCGGCGGCATCGGCTCGGTCTGAGGTGTAATGTCGTCTGTTGGCAAAGGGTGCAGCAGGAGTGGGAGTAACAGCAGCGGCGCGGGTTGCCGTCGGTGATGCAAATGGTAGCGGCCTCCTGGTCGTCAAGGTGGTCGCGGCACCGGCGAGTTGCAAGCGGCATCGCAGGCAAACAAAGCTGCCGCCGACCTTTCGACTGAGCATCTGAAACAAAATGGAAGGAAAAGACCAGGTATAACAAGAAGAATACAACACCCTATAGTTTCCCAAACCACTTCACAGCATCTCAATGGCGATCGGAATGGGTGGAGGACTCTTGCCGGCAACCATCGAGGCCGGGCGACTGATGAATTTTAGGTGGGGCGCGAATCTCTGATCGCAACCTCCCGGCAGGCAAGGACCCTGCATGTGCTGCATACCAGACGCGACCCGGCGCGACTTACTGCATGCAACTTCACTGACACCATTTACGTAGTGTACATCTGACAACTTGAACAGGACCTTGCGATTTCACCTCGTTCCTTGCCCCTCCACATAACAGGACAGTACTTAGTTACTAGAATACCTGGGCTACCCATCATTTGAGCCTCGCACCACGTCTTCTCTCAAGTCAACATACGATCACTCTATCTCTTGAAGCATTCGCATCGCACCCATTGCACCGCATTTGTGGGGTGGACCGGAGACCATGCCACCAACACAGCGCCAGCGCCGACAGGTACGGGATATATGGCACAGAACATTGCCAACCACCATATTGGATTCGGAGTGAACTAACAAGCTCAATTTATAGGCCGCCGAGTCCGATGAAGACGAAGACGTCCATCAACGCCTCGACAGCCCCGCGGACGACGGAAATTCTGAGGTGGACCACATGCACGGTGTCGAGCGAGGCGAGACAAGCCAGCTCATCAAGAAGCTGGTGCGATATGCCCTCGCTTGCGAATACTCCAGAACACCGATCCGCAGAGACGGCATCAAAGAAAGAGTCCTCGGTATCCACGGTCGGGAGTTTAAGAAGGTGTTTGCTGGGGCCCAGAAGCAGCTGCGAGCTACATTTGGCATGGAGATGGTCGAGCTGCCCACCAAGGACAGGAACCTTTTGACGGTTGAGCAGAAGAGAAAAGGTATGTTCAAGTTGTCTTTCTCTCTCAATAGACGCCGATCTGCTAACTTCTTTCGTCTTTCTCAGCCACGAAATCCCAGAGTCAGAAGGAGCCAACATCAAACTCTTACATGCTCGTTTCGGTTTTGCCCGAGCACCTCAGAGTTCCCGACATCATCGCCCCGTCCAAAGTCCAATCGGCAGATGGCGAAGCTGCATATATCGGTATCTACACAATGCTCATTGCCATCATCACACTCAGTGGTGGCGAGCTAAGTGATCCGCGCCTGCGACGATACCTCACCCGTCTCAATGCGGCGGAGAACATGCCAAGTTCCAACCCCAACAACGAAAATGCGCCGAGCGAGAAAACCGAGCTAGTCCTCCAGCGTATGACTAAGCAGGGTTACCTTGTGAGGGTTGCGGACAACAAAAATGCGGGAGACGACGATGCAATTACCTGGCACGTTGGGCCTCGTGGCAAGGTGGAAGTGGACAATGAAGCCATTGCTGCCGTGGTCCGAGAAGTCTATGGCGGCGGCCGACCAAACGAGGATCTGGAGAGGAAGCTCCAAGCTAGTTTGAAGGTGAAGGAGAGGAAGCCGCCAAGGTCAGCAACGGCGGATCGAGCTCCGACCACAATCCAAGAGGATGAGGAAGAGGAAGACGCGGAAGGAAACGACGAGCCGGAGCCCGGCCCGAGTACTAGACGAGGAAGACGGGGGTAGACACCCCTATCTGGGTTTTATTCTTTCTGGTTTCGTCTGTTCGGATTGGCGCAAGGCGTTGTTAGGGTATCTGTGTTCTAAAATACATGTGGGCTATAGATAAGGAGGGTAAGAAGGTAAAGGCCTTACGACAGGATGTAATGTCTGGAGACAGGATATTCCTTGTCCCCATATGCAATTTGTTCTTGCAAAGCGAATAGCGCCCGGGTGAGCTACTCGTATCGATGTAGGAGGATCGAGGCTAGTAGCTTTTGAAAGCAGTTGTTGTTGTTGTTGCTGTCCGTCCTGCGCCCAAGGTGAATCTCGGCCTATCTCCTTTTCGCGTTGCCGTACCAGGGATATAGCCACAGAACAGTATGCAGTGGCGGGCATTATGAATTCTTTCTCCGTTTCACTTCCCATTCAAGCATGCGCTTCTAAGCATCGGCCTTTCGGTCAACAAGCATAGGCTCCTCGCCCTCCCTGGGCGGAGGCGGCCCCATCGGTTGCAGCATTTTCTGATAGACAAAGAACAAACATTAGCTTGAAACAACATCCCGATTCCCTCCACATATCAAACGGTGACGTACGCGAATAAGTCTTGCGCGGACCTTGGCCGCGGGCTCATTTTCAGCTAGCGCTATGTACGATAAGAGAGGTGGGTGTCCGACAATGCTGGAGTACGTGTCGCGGTGGATGTTGGTTTTCCACTCCCAGCTCGTCGTGTCTGGGTGACCGGTGCCAATGTACTTGGCCTGGAGCCGCTCGAGTTCCTGTTGGGTACGAAGCTTGTCCGCCTGTTGATGGTTGAGGTTTTGGGTCAGTATGCGCCGGAGGAAGGGCTGGGAAGCAGACGGCGTGGTCCCACCATTATGAGATTAAATCCGAGCACACTTTTGTTGACTGATTCGATCTGGAAAGAAGGGGTGAGAGGATGATGATTGGGATGACGATATGTTGCTGTTGTTGTCGTTGTCGAGAGGTACGATGAATATTTAGTTGGAAAGCAGGGACGCTGTACGCCAGTGCGATACGCGTTGAGTGGATGCTATGGCCCGACGACGGGACCTGAAGTGCTTGCGCCCTGCAAGGCTTCGTTATTTGTCACATATGTAGCGCAGTGCGGCAAACTGGAATGCCAAGCCTTTGAGCCAGTGAACGGACCACCTGCCAGTGGAGCCAAAGGTGGAGTGCCCTGGTGAAACGGGCTCGGCGAGGGGAGTTGCCCACTGGAGACTTAGTTGGGACTGCACTCCCCCGGGCCCGGGCCATCTTGACCACTACGCGGTGCCGGGGGCACTAGGTAGGTACGCAACTTGACATTGGCAACCTCGACGTGACGGCACTTCAAGGTTGAAACTCCGTCCTCAGCCTTCAGTTTTCACGAAGCGGCAGAAACCTGGAAGTTTCCAGTCGGAAGTGAAGCCATCCACGTACATTTCTAATTCCATCCATCTCACACAAGGTACAATTCTCCAGCTTGTCAACCAACTAATTCAGCTTTGCCGGCTTGACAAACTTCTTTCATACCTACATTTCAACACTTTTGACAGAACTAACTCACTCTTTCATGTTCGCAACCAGACGCAAAATACTTTGATCCATCCACTCTTCCTTTACAAGATACCCATTTTCTTTTGGTTGTTCTTATAAAGCACATTTCCACTGGATGCGACCATCGGTTCAGTTTACAACTACAGCTTTTGATACCACTCACCTCACCCACCCAAGCCACCATTGTCCTTGTTACTGGCCCTGACACTGGCATTCAGTCTACGAATCACACACGCGCCTTTGGCCTCGTCTGTCCCACCATGGCAGACGATCTATTATATTTGTCCAGTCTCACCGTGAGCAGAGATAAGCAACTTGCCAAACACCTTGACGGTATCCGGTCGCAATGCATATCACAACACGGTTCCTTACGCTCCAACAGCGCCACTGGTGCTCACCCATCAGTATCATCAACAACAACATCATCATCATCACCACCACCGAACTTCCTAGTCACATGCCCGGACTGCTACCGAAAGGCCTTGGACCTCGTCCGCGCACGCTACCACCAATCACGCGCCGCCGCTGCCGGCGAGTGGTGCACAACACGGCGCTCCTTCTTGCGGGACATCGACACCATGCTAGCTGGTGCGAAGGAATATCAAGTTGATCCACGGACCATCGACGACCGTGTACAGGCTGAGCGGGACAGTTGGTACCTCGAGGTCGTACAATCCTCACTTGTGCGGCTCTTACGAACCGTCATCGGAAAACTGGATGATGCTGTCCTCCCGGAGGATGCAGACCCGGCGGCAGCGGCAGCAAAGGATCATATTGTCGAGAGGATAGAGGAACTGCAGCAAGCGCGCCAGGCGGCACGGTCACATCAGAATGTACTTCGCCTGGCCGAAGATATCGACAAGCTACTGCAGGGCGGGAAGGATGAGAATGGAGACGCAACCATGACGGGGATGGACACTGGCTTCCCGCCTGAGTTTGCCGCTACAGAAACGAGCGATGAGGACCGAGTGGAGATTATGAGGAAGTCGTTTTGCAGCACAGTCGCACAGGGGGGCGACGAGAAGAACTTGCAAGGCTCTCAGAAGAAGTACTTCGACATGTTCAAAAATGGGACACCACTGGGTCAGGTGATCGAGAGGATATTAGACGACAGGAAGGAGGCAACGGGGGCACATGCCAAGATCGGCCAGGTTAAGAAACGATTGGAAGATCTGAAGAGGGCTCGGGCGGCATACGAACTACAAAAGACGAAGAAGGCCAGCATATCGGAGCACAAGGTCCCAGAAGAGCTTTACAACCTGCCCGCGTGCCACAACTGCGGACAGATGCCCAAGACTAGGGATTTCCTGAGCTGCCCTTTATGTATGGTTTTGGTGCAAAAGGGTGTGAGGGAACGGCAGACTGTGTGGTGTTCGCCGGGATGCAATACCGAAGGCCTGGTAAGTGCTTTTCTTCCTTCTCAAGATATGTGTTTAGACGGTGGCGTACATGGCTCCTCAGATCTTCGGCCCAGCCTTATTAACCCTCCTCATCTAGCCCAGCCACATCGAAACCGACCACCAATGCGCCTCCAGAGACGACTGTGTCCAAGTCAACCCTCTCCGCCACAGCCACCAACACTACGACCCGGACCAAGACGTTAATATGGACGGCACCAGCACGGTCGCTTCGTCGCCCGTTGACTCGGACCCCAACGCCTCGAGCCCCGTCTGCTTCTGCCGTGAGTGTCTGACCACGCTCAAGTGCGAATCTGTCTTCTGCTCTCTGCGATGCTACGACCTAAACTTTCAAGGCCACCGCGAAAACATCCACATGCCCACGCGCCGGCAGCTGAACATCATCGTCACCGACCGCCAACATCTCGAGTACTTTCCCATGCCGCCGCTCTCCTCCTCGTCGGGTCCGAGCGCGAGAGATAGAGACAGGGACAGAGGCGACAGGGACAGCTACAACAACCGTAACCGTAACAACAATGACAACAACGACGACGGCGGCCCCAACAGCGGACTCGGCGAGAATCCTCCGTTCCTGCAGATCAGGACCCGGTACAAAGCCAGAAACATCAAGGATCATGTCATCCCGTTTGACGAAGCCATTAGCAACTGGGAGGAAGCGAACCAGGTCAAGGCGCAAATCTAGGAGATTCAAAAGAAGCGCTGGCACTGGCACAGCTGGTAGGAAGGTTGACCTTGGCTGAACCAGGAGGGAGGTTTGAGGGAAGATGAAAGGCTTGTATACGACGGCACATACAAAGGGGCCACGAATTTCAGGAAGGCGAAATTCATGGAGGAGGAAAAATTGCGACTCTTGCATCACCAATACGGAGGGTGCGGAATACATGGATGGGATCGTAGAAGCCCTTTCTGCTGTCTTCTGATCGTTTATATGTGTATGACATTGGGAGAAGAAGGATGGGTTGAAAACAAGCATTGGGCGGCTACCTGTGTTTATATATCATTGTTTTAGGTGGGAGAAAGAATGAGACAAACAAGTCACTTGAAATTCGAGGCTAGGCAACGGGAATGGGGGGAAGAAGAAAATACACTATATCGAAATCGTCAATTGGTTATTTGCCAGGCGTGCGTACCTCCTGAACTGGAAAATCTCCAAAGCAACCGCTACGACTACGAGAAGTACCATATATGGAGTTGCTGAAGATAATTAAGGATGATGACTTCCGTTGAGAGTCGAACCAGCAACAGGACATATAATCATCTATTTTCTAGAAATCCTCCCGTTCTCTGGCTCATCCACTGTGAGTAAAACTGCCTTTCATGCTTCCACTCCCATTTTTCTCATCAGCACGTACAGATACCATAATACAAAACAACCAGCAAGAAAGAACAAGTGCCATGCGGCGAGAAAAGAAGATAGGTGTAAGAAATAAGAAAGTAGATAAAGGGCTGTCTGTGGGTATTCCATATCCGTGTCGTATCGAAACAATCAAACAAGCCATGCAGAAACATAACACATGAAACACATCGAAAGACTCTCTGCTCTGTCTCCATAACATGTTACCTCCTGTCCACGTCTGATCATGTACTGCCAGCCTCCGAGGCAAGAACAGAAACTACCATACAGTAATGGGTGCGCTGAACAGAATCTCCACGTCCGGCGTTATTAGATGGGTATCCCAGTGCCGCTGGGCTGCATTCTGCTCAAAGCATATTCAGATGCATAATACCATCAGCTGTTCGGTCTGAAACGGCGCGATTCGATATCCGACGGTACTGGAAAGGGATACCATTTCGAGGTAATCGGAACAAAGGGCCAACCAGACAGGCCTTGGCATTCATGACTTGCCAGAACCACACTAACGGATCTTTGCGCCGTGTTGCTTCAGCCTGCTCGTCCTCCAGTTCTCGTACCACTGTTCCCGACTGGCCTCCCGCAAATCGGAACGCCACTCGTTGAAGACGGCATCCTTAAGACGAACAAAATCGCAGTGCTCTTCATTGTAGGGATCCGCAAAACCCCAGGGAAATTTGCGGCCGATGATTCCCGGCTCATAGAGGTCTGGGCTGATGATCGACATGGGGACGAATGGAATTTCATCTTCGGAAGTAGCCTCCTCAGAAGGCTTGTGGCGGCGAACGGAGCCATTAGAGTGTCGGTTAGAGCTGGGTGAAGACCCTTGCTTTGCGGTAAGACGGTCTTCGTCATGAACAGCCTCCTCTGTGTCACTGTGGTCGAACACAGGATTCTCTTCTTCTTCATCGATACGGTCAGAGGAGTCGTCGTCATCTTCCTCATCCAGACCAAGGGCCTGCAAAGGATCCAGGTTGGCCCTCTTAAGGCTATCCCAGACCGCCCTCTTTAGCACGCTCATGTGCTTCGTTGTGATAGTATCAGCCTTGGCTATAACCGGGATCACCGTGGTCTTTCCATGGAGTGTTCGCATAACTTGCAAATCGAGGTCTTCGTCCAAAGCCCCCGCGATGCGAGAACAGGGAGGGTGCCTGATGCCGTTGAGAAACATATTGCCAGCGCCGGCCCAACTGGCTGCGATGTTTCGATCAAGTCGTGCAGGGTCGAGGAGGAGGAAGACGGCGTGGATGTGGGTATCCTGTACACCAGGCGATCTCACGACCTTCATCTCCTCTACGAATGTTTCCTCAAACTTGCTCTCCAAGAAGCTCGATAGCTCGCGGAGCTGCAAATCAACAACATTCTTTTCCAGCCCCTCTGAATCCCACAATGTCAATCCGACGCGTTCACCGTCGAACTCGGTTTCGAGATAATGCGGAATGAAGTTACCGGAAGGTGAGGGTTTCGGAGAGGGATCTTGCTGGTCAACGGGCTTTCCCCGCCGTTTGGGTAGTGCCAAGGCACTCTTGAGGAACTCCAAGAACGATGTTTTTCCCGAGTTGCTGGCACCGACAATGAGGATACTGTTAAGTGGAAGGTTAGAATCGAGGAGCTCTCGCACGAGTCGTTTGATCACACTTACTTGAAGGCAGTCGGATCCTTTCTTCTGCGGACTCTTCTGGGGCTGTTGATGGTGCTAACTGCACTGCTAGCATAGCTGTAACGTCCACGATGCGCCATACTGGTGGCATTGACGTAAGGGTCGAAGCCGTTGGGAATGGGGGGAGGCGGAGGGACTTTGTATACTGAGCGTGGAGCCTCCATGGATGGACGAGCAGTAGAAGATATAGAGTAATTAGATGAGTGTCCGACGCCCGTCGAGTCCGTGGTTCCTGAGATGATTGCGAGTGAATCGGGCCGAGCCTCGGTACCGAGCTCTAGTTGGGGAGCGGGGGCTCCGTTGTAGAGGGCGGGCAGCCGAGGAGGGGATTGAGGAAGTGCAGCATCACGCTGGCGCTGGAGCTCTTGCGCTTTGGCCTGCTGCTGCTGCTTCTTCATGTCGCCACTCTTGGTCCTGCGTAGTAACATTCCTCCAAAACTAGATCGGCGAGCAGGAGACTGGTTCATAGCTCTCGGTGAGAGACTAAATGCAAGTGATCGACGCGTGTCGAGCTTTGACTGCGTAGGTATGCTTCGGCAGAAAAAAGGCGGTCGACTTGTATCCTCGGCAACTGCGATATGCACTCTATCTGTCGAGAGGTAACTGAACCCGACCACAGAGAAAAAGTTGGGCGAACAATATTGGCCCTTAAGTCAGTTGGTTGGCAGGTAGCAGACAAGTTCGACAACTTTGACGAGGAAGCGATCGATGACCGGGCTATGGGCCTGTCGAGATGGTGGTTAGCTTTCGAACCATGGCGAAAGGAAAGCGAGAGGCTGCAGTGGAAAGTGTTTGAGGATAAGTAGAGGTAGTCCAGCTGGCCGCCTCACTAGTACCAACCTGTGTTGGTTGGTGGCCTTAAGAAGGAAGGGAATTCCTTCCATTGCCTCGAAGCGGGTAGGAGCTGATCTAGGTAAGTTTGACTTGAAGCTGCCTACCTCTAGAAGAAAACTTGCATACTTCTGCTATCTCTAGCGTTGGATCACAGTGGCTGCCGAGATAGGAAGATTGAAGGGCAAGCGCGAAATACAGTTCCGCAAGTGTTGCTGGAGGATGCAGGGGTCTGTTCCAATAACATGAACTAACCCTCCAAAGTCAGGACTTCTCACCCAGTTTGCGGTCGATATCCCGCGGGCTGAGCCGGCGTGCTTCGTAAAACGGAATAGAAACACGGAAGGTGCAGAATATTCGAAAGAGCGAGCGAAGGGTGAGCGGCAGTTGGCGTCGAACAGTTAAGACTGGCAAAGTACGGATGAAATGAAGGAAACCAGAGGTCTCGAGCCGCAGCCGGGATGCAACCAACGACTTTTGGAGCAAGATGTATAATATTTTCTGGATTTTGGTTTCGTCAGTACACTCATTTTATCTTCGTTCTCCTTGGTGTTCTCCTTGGTCCGCGATATCTTTTCATCCTCGTCACTTTCAACCTTGATTGGTCAAACTGACTCATGTCTCTTTCAACAGCTTCTATAAAAACCAGATACCACGGCCAAACATCGCGCGGTACTGCTTGCCCTCGAACAGTTCTCGACAATATCATGATAATGGACCAGCACGTCCAATGGCATGTGGTAGCTGCGGCGCAAAAGAACTGACAACTTACTTGAACCTTGACGGTCTCGGGCGAAACGACGTAAAGATGAAACGAGGGGATGGCGGTTTGTGGCCGTACAAAACGGTAGTGCGCGCGAGACTTGCTCAGCGCGGAGGAGGGAACAAGCAAGGATCGATATGGATATTTGTAGTTGTGTAAGAGGGAAAGGAAGAGGAGGATAGACGACAACCTGCTGTCGATGAGATCACAAACGACTTTGGACCGATGGAGGTGAGTCGCAAAAAGAAGGACGTTGGGCGCGGAGAAGAAACAGAAACAGAAACAGAAAAGAAGACCTTCCCGACCAGAAGAAACGCTGGTCAGGCACAAGACAAGCGGATTGGCTGGCGGCGAGGTTGAATCCCCGGCGGATGTCGCATGGCACAGAGCCTGGGATGACCAGGGTCAGAGCAACCACTCAAAAAGGACGGGGGCCAAGCTACACCCTTGACTTCGTGCCAACTGCCTGGTTGGGCCAGCGAGAGTTTCTAAGCTCCCCACCTATCACCATCTGCGACCCTGGAGATGAGATGGGTTGAAGAAGATTCCCGATTCGAAACGCAGAAACCGGGGAAGCGCAAGAGACACAAGCCTTGGCTTTGGTCTGTCTTGCGTCTTCAACCCGCTGTCTCGCCGCCTCGGTCTATATGCTTTGATTTCCTGAGGGCACAAGAAGACACTCATTTTCGCGATATCTTTACCTTCAAGCGGATCGCACAAACTGTTTCGTTCGGCCCCTATTAGATTGCAGCGGGTGATGGCCCATGTTATTCTGTTCCAACCGTCCAACGCCGGGCTGAGGTGGTACCGACCATTCTTTAATGCACATGCCTTGAGAAGCTAACCGATCGTCCAGACTCTAACCCAGTCTCGACAACCGGCCGAGCCGGCGTTAGAGAAAACCCTCTTCAAGCAGACATCCCGCACCATCGAATCTTGACTGCTCTCTGGATGCTCCCCTCCTCGGCCCTCTACAGATATTCGTGTTGCACAGAGAAGTACGCGCCCTTCTCAGTCGGCCAGTGACGACTGCGCACGCGTCTTTCCGTTGTCCATCGTGCTCTCAAGGTGGATATG